AAAGTTTTTCCTCATTACCCATTTAAGCCGTCTCCAGCCATTATTAGTCTCAAAGTGGGTTCCTCGTCATCGAACTAGTCATCCTATGCTTCATTATGCTATTCATACATGTGACTGCCAATTTCAAGAAACAAGTTTTGCTTATTAACATCAGTGGTCTATTTTTAATCTGCTATTTAAATTTAATCGCTTTTCCGTTTCGTTAAAAGCAGTTATTTATGTTTTCAATTTCATATCACATGCGAGGCTTGCGAAAATAGGTTAAAATGGATAGATGAGGGAGTGCTATATTTTTGAAATACCTCTCTTATTATGTTACATACTCGGGAAGTTTCATTCTAAAATGTGTTTGTTTCTACTATACTATTGGTCTATATGTAAAAGAATACTACAACGTTAGTAATAGAGAGCTTTATAGTAAGTAAGCCAAGAGGAAACATTCAGAACAACTTCGTACATTTTATTCTGGTCTTGAGTATACTGCAATGATAAACTTTATTTTTTCATTAGGTTATGTCACAATTTTTTATATTTTTTTTCAATTATCGTAGAAACATCTCACAGGTGCACAGAAGAAATATTTCGGAGACAGCAGTCGCTTTGGGCTTTCAATGGAGTAGGTTTCTAGCACGTGATACGTTACGTATAACATTCTAAACCTGTAGGTTTAAAGGCAAGCACAGCACTGTAGCTAGATATAGACGTGTATAGACGATGTGTACGAAATATCTAATCAGATGTAGGGATAAAGACAACTAAGCATACGCAGAGAGAAAAATGTAGCTATACAGATGTAAAGGTTCGGGTAATTAAATACAGAGAAACAGATATGGGGTGATAAAAACAAAATGTAGATAAAAAGATATAGGAACCAAAAATAGGTAGAAATAGAGAGAAAGTAATAATTGGACAGACTGGTGAACATATAGGATACTGAGAGACAGACAACTAGATTTGATTTACAGTAATGTATGTTGTGATAGGAAACATAGATCGTTAAATATGAAATAATGTACCTTTGAATGTATTTTTAACGAACCGAGTTGAATTAGATTCCCTGTGTATAATTTCATTTCGTGTCGTATATCTGTTATTAGTATTAACCGAGTTAGCGGATCATATATAAACACAAAATAAAAAGCGACAGTTTTCAATATTAAATTTCATTTTGAGGGTGTATTGTAATAGAAAGCATGATAATTCTGCATTTTACTGTCACGGGTATAAACAGTAAATGGTAATGAGTACATTTTTACAAATAATTTTTATGAAATTCCTTTTATATTCTATCTTATAAGCTTGGTAACCAACACTGATGGACAGAAATATTTAGATAAAAGTTTTCCATTTAGACACTAAGAATCGCTTGAATTATATTTAATTTTTTCAGAGAAACTGGATGGTATCGTCCCCATCTTGACTCGAGGCCACCATTCCTTTCCCTTTAGGTTCCAGCTTCCAGAGAGTAGTCTCCCTTGCAGCTTCGAGGCACGTCATTGTACTGTTCGTTATTACGTCAAAGTTACACTGGACATTCCGTACGCCTCCCCCCCGCAAGGCATGAAGTATTTTACAATTATAGGCCCACATATTGATTGTATGGACGAGCAGTATTTGGTAAGTACTCTCGATATCGAATGGAACACATTACTTTGGGTTTCATATTCTACAGGGTAGCCCAAAGTGTAAATAAATATTACATTTGTTTTAAACTCCGCTTCTTATTAACAGAATAACACGGTATGTACAAAAACAACGATTCAAACGCCACTCCTAACACTTTACGTGACAAGCGACAACTGGAACACACTGTCTTCTACTATATATATATATATATACATATATAACGTGTGCGTATTATTTAAAGATGCTTTATTTTTACAAATCAAAATACGAAGGTTTAAGTTTTAGACAGATTTTCTTGCGATCTATGGTAATCATACAAGGACGTGTTACTAAGCCTAAGAGCCCTTTCTTCTATCATTGAAGATGGGAACTCTGGTTACGAATATTCTTCTGCGTTGCAGTTATCACGACAGGGGGCTTTTGAGCAATACACTGAAGTCAATTTTGCGCCCCCTCCGCTTTACATGTTTTTTAAAGTCCATCAACTATGTACGGAGGCGACTTCCAGGGCCCTTTTAAGAAACGCGAAATCAAAGAAGTCCGTGGGAGATGTTTACAAATGGTATAGCATTAATTTCCCACTTTTAATTGCATTTTGCTGAGTAATTATTATGTCGAGTGTCGCTTGATGGAACCTTACCTTATTGATATCCAGTCAAGTAGTACAGTGTTTCAGCAGAGTCATCGTGGCAATTACTTTTCACATTAGATAAGTGTTTGGATAACAAGAAATTAAATAGATTTTATGAAAAAAAGAAGACATTAACAAGCACTTCTCCAATTTGTTATTTTTTGACGGTGAAATATCGAATGTCTAATTGCATGTATTAGTATAAGACTAGTGTTTGTCTTCCCTAAAATTCTTTAGTTTAAGATATAGCATCTGATTTAGTTGAAAATAGTAAGAAAACGAATAAAATCACTATTTAGCTAGCTAGCTATAAAAAATTCTCATCCATCAATCATTTTTGCATATATTTAATAGACAAATACTTTGTGTCCAATGTGACGAATACTTCCATCTGTCAAAAATCAGATATCTTTTGACAAATGGGAAAAGCTTATGAACACAACTCTTGTGAATTACATTGTTTGCCATTCAAATCGGAATTCTCACATTAGCTGCAATGGACAGTTGTGTTTTTAGGTTATGGTATCAAGCTGTTTAATTTTCTTCATAACTTCCCGTGTGCGACTGGTTGCAGATTACGGAGTAGCCTATTTTTCTCGTTACAGTCACTCCTTCCTTAGTTTAATGAAATGCGGAGTATTAGAACATTGCGTCGGAAAGTCCTATAAGGCAACAATCCTAACATGGGAAATTTTGAGGCACCGATGGCACTTCAAAATCGCCACATTCAACTGAAATTTAACAAGAGGGTCAAAGTTTGTAACCTGTTTAATCATAGGTGACGAGGGCTTCCAGGGGCGAGATGATTGGATATGCAAATTTCTATCATAGATCGTGAACAGACTTCTGTAGTTGATCAATAGGTAATTGTGTTGAGCATTGCATATTTCACTAACGTACATAAAAAATACCCAAAATTTGCTGTTTGTTGTTGAATCTTCGTTCTAACCTAGGTTTAAGGACAGCGAAAACAGCAGCAAAGTGTTCATTAGGTCTAACGGATAATTAGAGACACACACACTGCCGAAATACTTAGAAACAGCACACTTCCAAAATAATTAAAAACACACACACTTCCAAAATACTTAGAAGCTTACACATTTCCAAAATACTTAGAAGCACACACACACACACTACAGAAATACTTAGAAACAGCACACTGTCAAAATACTTAGAGACAACACACTACCGAAATACTTAGAGACAGCACACTGTCAAAATACTTAGAATTTGTTTGTTTGTTTTTGAATTTCGCGCAAAGCTACACGAGGGCTATCTGCGCTAGCCGTCCCTAATTTAGCAGTGTAAAGCTAGAGGGAAGGCAACTAGTCATCACCACCCACCGCCAACTCTTGGGCTACTCTTTTACTAACGAATAGTGGGATTGACTGTCACATTATAACATCCCCACGGCTGAAAGGGCGAGCATGTTTGGTGGGACGGGGATTCGAACCCGCGACCCTCAGATTGTGAGTCGAGAGCCCTAGACAGCTGGCCACGCCGGGCCCAAATACTTAGAGACAACACACTATCAAAATACTTAGAGACAACACACTGTCAAAATACTTAGAGACAACACACTGCCGAAATAAGTAGAAACAACACACTGTCAAAATACTTAGAGACAACACACTGCCGAAATACGTAGAAACAACACACTGTTAAAATTTAGAAGCGTACACACTGCCAAAGTACTTGAAAATAACACACTTCCGAACATTTAGAAACAACACACAGCCGAAATACTTAGAAACAACACAATGTCAAAATACTTAGAGACAACACACTACCGAAATACTTAGAAACAACACACTGTCAAAATACTTAGAAACAACACACTGTCAAAATACTTAGAGACAACACATTGCCGAAATACTTAGAGACAACACACTGTCCAAATACTTAGAGACAACACACCACCGAAATATTTATTGACAGTGTGTTGTCTCTAAGTATTTCGGTAGTGTGTTGTCTCTAAGTATTTTGACATTGTGTTGTTTCTAAGTATTTCGGCAATGTGTTGTCTCTAAGTATTTGGACAGTGTGTTGTCTCTATACTTAGAAACAACACACTGTCAAATATTTAGAGACAACACATTGCCGAAATACTTAGAAACAACACAATGTCAAAATACTTAGAGACAACACACTACCGAAATACTTAAAGACAACACAATGTCAAAATACTTAGAAACAACACACTGGCAAAATTTAGAAGCGCACATACTGCCAAAGTACGTAAAAATAACACACTGCTGAAATACTTAGAAGCACACACACTGCCAAAATGCTGAGAAGCACATACACTGCGAAAATACTTAGAAACACACATACTGCCAAAATACTTAAAAATAACACATGTCAAAATACATAGAAGCAACACACTGCCAAAATACAGCTACACAGTATCAGTACTGTATTTTTCCACTGGTCATGGTGCATAAAAACTGTTTCATTCTTAATTGTTATTAACGAACAAATCGTATCTGTAAAAGTTTAATTTTGTTCTCCACTATTTTCTTCTTCTTTTATAACAACTAAGCAACACGCCCAAGAAGATTCCTGTTGGCTGAGGGTTAGTAAGTTACTTAGGTAATTTCTCCTAAGTTCAAATTGCCACAGGGGAAAACTGACATTAACCTACTTTTATAATTAACTGTTATAAACAGGCAAGTTATTCTTACTTTAAAGAACGCTTTTATATCCTTAAGTTCAATTTGAATGAATGATTAATCCAAGCAGTCACTTTCACCTGGTTTTACAAAATATGTTAAAATGTGAACAATGGATTAATTAAGGGAAATATTGCAAAACAAAAAGACGTTAGAAGTCAAACATTCATATTAATCACAGTTATTAGGCCTAAGGAATTTTATTACGTTGCGAGCTTCGTGTTTTCCACCACAATAGCGAGTGTCTGAAGTTAAGCATATTATTTCATACAAACCTTTTTCTGTGATTGGTGCAACCCAGCTGATGAGTTGTGCAATTGAACTAAAGGCTTACTGACAAACAACCCGAAGACTGAAAATGCTTAGAAATCTGCAAAGGATAGTTTGAGAAGAATGTGACATACACATATGCATTCAATAGTAATTTGAATCACAGTTAATATAGGCCTAACGAATTTAAGTGTTTCGTCAGCTTCAGCGTGTTCATCTGAACATTTATTATTTATTGAATCGTGAAATTCACGTCATGTTTCGCTAAAATTTAAAGATATAGTTCACTCTTCTGTAATTATTGCCTGTCGTTATTGTTATTGGTTTTTAGCGCAAAGCTCACAATGAGCTGTCAGCGCTCTGCCCGCCGCAGGGAATCGAATCCCAGATTTTAGCGTTGTAAGTTCAAAAACTTACCGCGGCCCCAACGGGGAATATAAGAAGTTCCTAAAACGCTATCTTTTATAGCCCTGTCCGTTGAAGTAAATTCTTTATTATTGTGCTAATAATTAAATGTGGTAACATTTTGATATTATGTTTGTTAAATACGGAAATGCCTTTTCAAACTCTTGTACAATAATTACGGAAATGCTTTATTTTTAGAGGCATGCTATTAATTACAGATTATTGTTTATGTTTCACGGTGTTTATCTTAATTTTTCTCTTTGACGATGTTTACGTTTTTATAATAAGAAAATATAAAGACTTCTTAAAAGCCATTTCAATTATATTGTTACGTCTCTGGTCGTTTTTTAATTTCCCGTATAATTTCTTTCGGATGAAACTTTAGCGATACAAGTCCTTTCTTAAATAAAACTAGTTTATTCTTTCTCAATACAATTTTGCAATATACTTGATTTCCACAATCAGTTTAACTTAAACACATGCTATAATTCACAACGGACAATTCACGCAGTTACTTACTACCGCGCTTGACTTAATTGTCCGTCTCTGTCTGTAATTCTATCCCCAATTCATTGTCTGGCGCACTTATATACAAGAATAGAGGACGCCTAGCAAATACTGAATTATTCGTGATGTTCCCCGATCTTTCTAGAACTACACCAGAGCACAATGTGAGATTTCTATAAAGTTCTATACTTTCCACTGTGACACTGAAAATTAATTCTCTGTCATTTAACCTTATCATAATTCCACGCCATCTCAATATACAGGTTGGTCGTCATGGTAACCTAAAATGATGCGAGCTGTATGGAAGTGGACACAGCAGCTGAAACAAACTAGTGACAAAATTGCACTATCAGTTAAATGTCAATATCACTCACCGGTGGTTCCTATAATTATATAAAGACACAAGCGGTTGCTTGGGCAAAAGAACGTTTCCACGGTAACGTCTTTTAATATGAGCAAACAGAAGTGGTGGCGTCACCATTTCATATTTAAAATATTTTTCCGTATGACTTACTGAGACTAAATGTAGGTTCTAAGTTGGATTACAATAATCACAATGACGTGAATAACGTAAATGTGTGATTATTTACTTATGTATGAGAAAGACATTTGCTGGAACTAATGAACAAATATCCAGGCTGAAAATGCATTATATGTCAAACATATTATTAGTACGAATTTTATGGATATATCTATACCCTTGAAAAAAAAAAAAGATTATTTAGCCTACTATAAATATTAAAAGTGTTGAACTATACAGATCCACATTTTGAAAAGCTAAGGTTAACGAATGTAACAAGTATTCTAGATATACTTTAGATAGTTCACGAATTTTAAAAACAAACTTCAAGCATATGCCGGATAAACATGCAATCATTTCCAAAAAATTATCTCAACCTACAAATAACATTTTAAACATATAAAATGACTTGTATGATTGTTTGTTTATGAATAGTGGCACAGCAGTATCTCTACAAAGTTACAACGCTAGAAACCGAGTTTTCGATATCTGTAGTGGACAGAGAACAGATAACTCATTGTGTAGCTTTGTGCTTACCTTCGAAACAAACAAATACCCACGTAGTAAATTCAAACGAACAAATACTCACGTAGGTATGAGTGAATCATATTTTTTAGTATTATTTAATAAAAATATAAATAATCTATTTTTAAAACTTGTTGTTTTAACCCTAGGATTACATTTTCTCTTGAGTGAAAGTAACATAACCTATCATCATTCACATGTGATGTTCATACGAAGCTCTTTTCTAATGGCATTATCATTCATATACGCATTGAACGTCACATGTGATGTTCATACGAAGCTCTTTTCTAATGGCATTACCTATTATCATTCACATTCGCATTGAACGTCACATGTGATGTTCATACGAAGCTCTTTTCTAATGGCATTACCTATTATCATTCACATACACATTGAACGTCACATGT